TAAAATGTACCCGGGGTATAGGCTCTTAACCTATGACCAAAAATAAATAAATTAAATTTAAAATAGTCATCACGTGCGACACATAATCGGGAAGAACCAAACCAAAAATTTGCTTAGTAACTCGCCTTTCATGCTATAACAAAAAAAATCCCTTGGGCAATTTTTACCGTATGCCAGCCCTTTCCTAACCTTAAATTTAACTCAGACCCTAACTCTAAAGAATCTTGTCGCATAACGTGATCGAAAAATTTTTGGTGGAAAGATTGGGAAACCCTAATCGGATGATCGCAGTGTCGACATAATGTTCTCAATAAAAGAAACTGGATGAACCGTTTTCAACGGATCAAACGAGTGATCCGTTTGTGTTATCTTAAACCAGGTTGTCAAAATTATGATCCGAATTTCGTCATCTGGCGAAGAAACCCATCGTTAATAATTCTGATCAAATTTGTAGATTATTGGCCAGATCTAGAACAAAACTTTAAATGTGTGATCAAATGATCTGCAATTTTGGCCAAAATTATGAATGATAGGTTCTATTGATCAGGTGATGTAGATTATGTAACAATCAAATTTATGAAAACAGCATCTCAAAAGTATTGCACGGTGACTCATCCCTAAGGACAATTATAATATACTTTGTACGCTTTACAGGTATAATCAAGAACTTTAAACTTACATGCCATAAAAAAAACATTCAAAGTCAAAGGTCTCGTATTACGATTGATTATCTCTACTAAAAATTTTATTATAATAAAATGGTGTGGGATTACAATCATAACATGTACTTTAAATAATTTTTTTATATCTTGCACACCGAGTGAAGGATCAGTCGTGTAACATCGACGATTCCTCCAGTTTGTTGCAGCAGAAATCGAATTTTACGACGTTATGACACAGGTCGAACATTATCTGTTATGCATACGTCAGTTACGGTTTTTCAGAAAATGTACACCAAGTTTGAACAGGATGAACATGACTGATCCTTCACCCAGTGTGCAACATATAAAAAAAATATTTTACAATACCGGATCATTCCGCTAGTACATTTTATGATTATAATTCCACACCATTTTTATTATAATAAATGGTGGGGATTATAATCATAACATGTACTAGCGGAATGATCCGGTATTGTAAAATAATTTTTTTATATGTTGCACACTGGGTGAAGGATCAGTCGTGTAGCATCAACGGTTCCACCTATTCCAGGTTTGCGGCGCAGACCTCCTGAACTACGAATCAGATTTTAGATTAGGTGTAAAGTAATATGATCAAGAAGTTCAATAAAAACGTTAATTTAGCCAAAAATTGGCATAAGAAGCTGTTAAGCTTAAATCTATTTCAATAATCTTTATATTTGCAAATAAATTATATATTATATATACCATATTCTAAAATATATTTTCTATTTAATTTGATAAATATATAAGAACGTTTTGATTCTTTGTTTAACATGAATCCTTCCTCTCTATTTTTTAAAAGACAATTCTAACAAAAAAAATTTCTTGCGAAATTTTGGTAAAAACTATACCTCACCGCCTACCCTTACCCTATCCATAAGCAATGGTTTAATTTTTGTTCGTAAAAATTGATTTAATTGGTGTACTACACAAATTTGAAATTACGGAATTAATAAAATTAATACTCGTGTACAATACATTATATAAACTACAGCATAAATGGGTAGGTTTAATAATTATAATGGATTAAATTTAAGTTTTATATAGTTTAAATTCATAAATCTAAAAGATGCAAATTATTAGTCGGATCAATAATTTATCCAGACGTAATCTTTTACATTAATAATAATCATTACCAATAGAATTTATCACGAACAATAATCTAATTAAAAGCATTAAATGTTTAGTCGATTTGACCAAGTTAACCAGGAGACAGCTACATCGACTAGACCGACTGACTCAAGGCGACTACGAACTCCTATTTAAGCTACAGTATTAATTTAAGTTGATCAGAACTAAATTTTACATATATATTTGCGCCTCATCGTCATATATCGATTTTTCATTACAACTGAGGCACTTTGAATATTAATTTTTTGGCCAGCATTAACTGGTCAGCCTAAATTATAACCTAATCCATTACGCCAATAATAAAGCTAATTTGGGTAAATTGGCGCTTAGAGGCACAACACGTGTGTACGTACGTACGTACATACAACATTCGATTTTAGAAGCAAGAATGCGAACATCTTTCGGATTGTCGTCGGAAAGTTCGAAAGGATCCAGACACTCAAGTTGTACATCGCTACCATAAGCAATCTGTAGATTTATCCATAATGATAAATATGCGCCAAGCTATAAATACTCTGTGTAATATAATGTGTGCCACTTGTATGTACATAGTGACACTAATCTATTGAAATTTCTATTTCTCATTGTTTTATGGCAGCCAGAAAATAAAAACATCGTTTCTTTAAAACAAAATCATATGTCAAGGATAATTTGATAAAGTAAAGTTGACTACTCGGTGATATTATGACGGAATTCGCCATGCTTGTTTGATTTTTTTGGAAGGTTGCAAAGTTATTGGTCTTTAAAAATTTTAATTTTGCCATACCGATACGTAATATGTAATTATAAGAATCATACGTACCTATATTAAAGCCACTCGATAAGCTTAGCAGTGATCACGTGATACGCACCAGCATTATTAGTGCAGTACAGTAAATAGAATAGAATTTTTACATCATTTAGTTCTTAAGATGGAACGTAGCATTAAAAATGATCAATCTAATGTTACATAAGGAATTTTTTTAAAGCTTCTATTAATAGGCGTAAACCTTTTCTCTTAATCGATTTCTTTGATGACGTTCCAAAAACCTTAACGCGCCTTATCTTGTGCCATTATAACGCCACTCGGAAATATTTTTTGTGATATTCCAATATACAGATATATTCCTTGTAGAATAAACTTACTTGGAATAATTGTGCTAGGTCGTCATAAATGGTTAGCGTTTCATTCATTCAAGCTGAACATATAAAAGATCAGATATTTAACTTTTTGCATGACTATACCAATGGGTAATAAACGAAAAAAATATGTAGGTCGTTCTTGTACCTGGTGTAAAGAAAGAAAAATTAAGTGCCAAAAAGATAATGGTCCAACTTGCGAGGCTTGTATCAAAAAGGGTCAAGAATGTGTTACACCAGAAAGTATTAAAAAAAGGGGACCTAAGCCTCGATTGTGTAAGTAAAAACAAGATTTTATAAGCATACGTATAACTTTCATTAATACGTATCATGTAGTACGTACGTATTAATTTTTATTATATTTTAAGTAGTAGCCACAGCTCGGTCAAATGAGCCCTCTAAAAAGCAAAAGAATGAGCATCCTCAAAGTTTAACTCGTTTGAACGAAAATTCTCTTGATTCCCAATATTGTAAGAAATCGAGTTCAAGAAATGATTCTCGTCAATAGTTTTATATATACTTATTAATTAGCTTTTTATTGTATGTTTTGTGTAATGACGTTTATAGTTTTACAGAAGAGATTGATCGAAGATGTGATGATTAACGGAGACAAGGGTGGAGATTACGAAAGAGAATTATCTCAAACAACTCAGAATAAGGATGTTTCATACGATTGCTCAGAATGTAAGAATAACTTTAAGAATTCTCGTTTAAAATTAAATAAGTTCCTTTTCTTATTGATAGCCCGTAACACATCTACAGTTTTCCCACAACTATCAGAGTCGATCATGATTAACGGAGTTAGTAGCCACTCCAATATCAATTTGAATTATTGGTTATCTCGATATGTTACAGAGTCCGCCATTTATAAGTCAAGTAAGAAAATGAGTTTAGCATTTTCGTTAATTTTATAGTATAGCCTAAACTTTACGTTACAACATTCATAGCAATGTCGCAGAATGACTTTAAACAAATTCCGAAAAATCATTCTGCATTCTTCCCGAATCAGAAGCAGACATCTCAAGCATCTGAAGTCGTTCAAAATGGTACCAAATTTATAAACTACAATAAAAAATCGATTTTATGTTTTTTTGTTTTTTTTTTTTTTTTACGATAATACTTTTTGCAAAACAAACACTATTATTATTGTACGTATAAAACCTTTCATAGACTTATTGAAAGACGGAGAGAAAGAACATGATGACATTGTTCAGTATTGGAATAATTCTTGGGCTGAATATCTCAAGGAAATTGGGTTATGAAATAATAGTAGTTATTTTTATCATTTATGCTCTTCGTATATACTAATAGCAGCATATTAGTTCTTTTTTTTTTTCTTTTACTTATTCATTAATTTTTTGTTATTTGACGCTTTGGCATATTTTTTCAAGGAAATTGCCCAAATAAAAATGAATTAGTAATTACCGTTTATTAGGCAAATTAAAAAACCTGCGACGTTTTTTTGTGTTTCTTGGTTGCGGTTCTAAATTTTAATTATATTAAAATAAATTTTTTTTTAACCATAAATTTTGTTGTAATTTTATAATCGGTTAAAAGTAAATGATTAATAAAGGTATATATGGACTTTTAAAGTTGGAACAAATCCAAAGGCAAAGTTTGTAACATACATCTAATTTGTGATATCAACCCTTTTGATTATGAATTGCAGTTACTCAAATTTAACATAAAAGGAATGCGTGAAAGCAAGTTTATAATTTCCTCTCAAAGTGTACAATAATTGAAAATTCAGTTTCTAACTACATTATTTTGGAAAGTTTCCCTTAAAAAAAAAGTGATTAGATTCAGGCAAAACAACTTTTCTACCCGGACGCACGAAACTAAAACAGGTACCCAGATATCAATTAATATTCCAGACTCTTCATATATGAGTGCTGTCAAAAGAAAATCTGTCATCGGGTTTCAATTATATATTGTGTCCTCATAGACAGAAGTTTGTCTGATTGGCTAACAAATTCAATTTAATTTTACGGTTTAGAGTACTTTTTAAAAAAACGAAAACCAACCACAATAAAGTAAAAAAAAAAACATATAGAAGGTTTCATTAGAGTTGTAAGACTCCATAGTCAAAAATAAGATCTAATTCTCGTTCGTTTAAAAAAATTAGCTTTGTAATAAGTTGATTTTATCGGGGTTTGAGAAGTTATTGCTATACTAACTTTTTTAAACGGACGAGAATTAGATCTTATTTTTGGCTATGGAGTCCTAC